CGGAATAATCACCTGATGAAAAGTTGGAGAGCCAGAAAGAAAAAGACGAGGAAGATTCAGAGGGAGACGAACGAAAGCATGGAGGTGGTTAGATCGGCACTACAGATCTCACAAAGTCAAATCAGACTGAACAGAAAGACGCTGGCTGATCTTGTGTGATGGACAAAGGTTTTGTTCACCCCTCCTGCCCCCATGAAAGATTAATGAAGTGAAAGCCGGTGCAGCTTCATAAATCCAACGCTTAAAGATATGGAGGGGAGAACGTCTCTAAATCAGTTCTGAGTTAAACTTACCGCGAATGATAAAGAGATTTTTCTGTTTTTCTTTTCTTGTCTTTCATTCTGAGGCTAAGCCATAAATAACTGAGGCTTCTTCTATAATTTTCTGTCGAAAGAAAAATGTCGAGCTGCGTCTTCCAAACTCGAGCAACGTTTTCAAGTGGAGATGAATGCACAATGAGGTGCGGGAGAAGTCGGATAGTACCTTTGAAGCTCAAGGCAAGGATTCAGATTTTCCCTACAGGGATAATCCAAAGTTTTTATTAACTTTACACCGTACTTCTTCAACACCGAACTCTGTTTATTTACTTTTACGTGCTGTGAGGTCTTCCTTCGTACCCATCCTTGAAACACAGCACTTCATTACACGCAGAGAGTGGATATTTCTAAATCTTTAGATCTTATTTCTTTGTCATTCCTGGCATGTTTTCACTGTTTTGAGAGGATCTTTTTTTTTGTACTGTGTGAACTCTGCGATGAGGATGGTCCAAATTATGTAAAGACCAATAATCTGTCTGGCAGAACCAAGTCAAGTTTTCTTCTTTTGAATTTTTCTAGTAGATGTAAAACAGAAATAAGGCCAACTTTCATAATTAGCTTAAAACACACAAGACTTCCATTAGCCATGTTTTCATTGCACAGTAGTAAGAAAAAAGAAAAGTGTGAAAACTAGACAGGAAATGTTCCACTTAAAGTATCTTTTATCTGCTTTCTGTATGTAAGGCAAACATGAGGGTGAATGTGATTTGGTCAGATGAAACTAAACTTCACTTCCTTGCCTTGGTGGAAATTGCTAAAAACTAACACAGCACATCATCCTAAATGCTCCATCCTCATATTAAAACATGGCAGTGGCTGCATGGTACTGCAGAGCAGGTTTTCTTCAATAAGACCAGAGCGGAGGTTCACCTTCCAGAGGAACAACAACTCAAAACATGTAGTCAGAACCGCAGTGGGACGAGTTAAATAGATTTATATTGGAACAACAGTCAGTCCAGACCTAAATCTAATTGAGAACTTGTGTCCTGACATCAAAATGTCTTTATTATCAACTCACAAGGGCTTGATGCAAATGCATGCCACACTATTCAGATTTTCTTCTTGAATTTTTTTTAGAAATTCATAAATCCCATTTCTCCCACTTATCACCTGTTTGTGTTGGTTAATCATCCTGTATAACACTAATGCAGCATTTTGAAACTTGCAGTTGTAATATGACAAAGTGTGGAAAAACTTCAAGGTGGTTTGTGATGTGTACAAGCGACTGCAACATCTTAATTATCTTTCCAGCAGGCATTCATTTACCACTACGCTTCATCTCTGATATGGACAAATATGGTTCTTTTCGACCGTTTAGTGTTAGGAGCTGGTGGTCTCCTGTCCACTGGGGGTGCTCTTTGACATCGGCTTATCCTGCTCTTTGTTCAGGCTCGGGAAGATACAAAAACACTTCAATGGGATCCACTGAACTGGCTGAGAAGCTCTAAATTTTACCGGAGCACTGACTCTCCCACTGCTTCTGTTTTTAGTCTGGCTATCTTTCCTGCTTTGAAAATATCACATCGTTTTGGGAGAGAAAAAACAAAAAAAGAACATAGCGCACGGCGTATACATCATGAAGAGTTATCCAGAGTTATAAAAATCTTTCAAGACAAGTGGAATGGGAGTGGAAAGAGATGACGATAAAGGTAATAATCTGTTATGTGAGCTTAGAAGTGGGGGACATTTTCTGAAAGATCTGACCCTGAAAACAGAACCAAGATGAAGGAATTATGGAGATGAGACGAGCAGGTGTAAAAGACAGCAAAGCCTAGGAGCTAAAAAACACATTTACACTTTAATAATAGGGATAAATATATATTTTAAAACAACTATGTTCAAGGATCTGAACATGTACACGCAAACTTTGGAAGTATAAGGTTTACATCCTGAATGTGACTGTGTGTGCGGTGAAGATGTGTTGATGAGATGAGATTAGCCGCCGTTCCTGGAGGCCACCTGGAATGTGGGATCGCTCATCCGCTTCTCTGTTTCCATCTCCACTCCTCCTCACCACGAGAGGGGAAACGTCGTGACCTGTGTTTACTCCCTTCATTCTAAGGAATACACACTGCAAACTAGTGAATAATCCCACTTATTCACTCTGTTTGCCACGCAAGATGTGAAAATCCGAACAACACACTTAAGGAAAAGTTCAGCAAATATATAGACCCACTTTCTTTCCACTTAGTTCGCCTTGTTAAGCAAATAACGCATTTCCCCATTACCTCAGACAGGCTGTGCTACAAACTCTGTGTCTCAACATCAGCAGGAGCTCCGAGAGTTTCTAAGACTCTCAAAGCTGTTTGGCAAACTCAGCCCAGAAGCTGAATCAAGTCATGTATTTATAGATTATCACAGCATGCCACCCAGAAAACAAAGCGCTCTGTTCTCTGCTGTTGTGATGGAACGATAAAACATTCGCCGCTCTTATCTGAGACAAAAGTGCAGAAACAGAACAGCTTTGATTTATTGTGATTTAAATAAACTGTGAGAGCCAAGGTCTTGCCTGAGCCGAGACGGCAAAAAAAAGATGAATGCTACGACAAGGTGCCAAATAGGAATTTATTTGATGAAAGAGGCAAAAGTGTATCGTCAAAGTTTTGTCTCCGAAGATTAAATTAAAGCTCAAGTATTTGCCAAAGTTAGACAAGGGGCTGTTGTTTCCTCATTACGACATTAGGCTTGAAGAATCACCTTTAAACATCTTTTTGGTGCAGTTGGCAGTCGCCTACATAACTTCTCTTTCTGTCTACTCCCATATGTTTAAAGTTTATTGAGTCTTAAGGAGAGGCATTATGCAAAACTGCCTTTTTTTAAGGTTTATGCCATTTTATAATGACAAAAACACACCTGCAGTTTTGCTTTGACTCATTCATGCATGTTTGAGAAATCCTTGAATCTCCCATGGCAACCATTCATTGGATGCCTTAATGCTTTCTCATACAATGCAGCGCCTACTTTCCCAAAACTCCACCTTTTATCTGCAGTTCCCAGTCGAGGTTCTGCTCCACACAGAACCGCACGCTGCTCCTGTAGACTAGCAATTGGCAATTAGCAGCTGGTGGAGCTGCAATTTTTCCTGAGTTCATTATCCAACAGATGATTGTAAAAGGTATTAGAGGACAGCATGGGAAAGTATTGTTGTAATAACATGCTGAAGGGGAAATGTCGGAAAGGTTGGGAGGTTCTTAAAGAGATATAGACCAACATCAACACATCAGATTCGGCTCCTCCCTTTAAAAACTGCTAGTTTGTTTGGTGGTACGTAAAAATCTTACATCAAAGAGAAAAATTTAACAGTGCATTTCTTTCCTACTCTTTTAAAAACATGACATATACAACAAAAGTTATTTAGGATGTTTTAACACCAATTAAAGCAACTTTTTTAAAAACTAGCTGCAAACCATTTGCCCATCTATAACACATGCAACATATACGTATTTAAAAAAAATGTCTTCACTTAGTGGAAAGTGATGATAGCAAAACATTAGATAGGTTTGAATGCAAGGAAACAAAAATACAAAACAGACATTAAACTTCAGTAGGAATAAAAAAAATAACACTTTGAATGAGAGTCAACAGCCCCCCAAAAGGAAGCAATAAAGATTGCTTTAATTGGTTAAAAGGCATATAAAAAACCTCAATAAAGTCAAAGTTACTAAAAAAAAAACTTCAAAGATGGACAAAAAAATGTAAAAGTTGAGCAACATCAAAAATGATCAGTGTTACCTTCATGTCCTCCGGTTAAAATCAGCTTCATTCACTTTATTGTTCTCCAAACTGGGACCACGGCTCATCATTTGGTTTATTTGAACTCTTTCATACACAATACTGACAATCTAGTACAAAAAATGCTATATAATGGATTAATCTGATAGACTTGATGGGCAAGTTTCACATGAAAGAGCTACTTAGTTAATTAATCTCATTTTTTTAATACTTTTTGTCCAATCAAAACAATGTATTTCTCCTCACCTTAGAGGAATGCTTATCAATTTCTCTCAAAAGAAGGAAAATGCTCTGAAACGTTGCACATTTTTGCATTTAGCCTACAGTTCCTGCCAGTCTGGTTTGATTTCTTAGTTAACCGCGCCGAGAAATCTCTCCAAATCCACCTGTTTGAGTCGAAATGAAATTGCTCTGGCTTTAAAGGATGGCCGTGCGAAGACGGACAGATGGAGGGAACAATCTCCACCTGACTGCGCCGCTTGAGAGAACACAGCTTGAGCAACGGCAGAGCGAGAAAAACCCGGCTAATGTTGCGAACTGCTGTTTTTTGAAATGAGGAGCGAAGACCGAGGCGTGGCGTTGGTGTGTGTGTAACAGCAGGTGTTGTTCTCCTGCAGCGGACTCAGCCCCCAGCTCTCCCACTGCGGCTGGTTATTAATGGCTACAGATTCATTACAAGCAGCCAGTCAGCCATGCTGCCTGTACGCCCGGCGCTATTAGTCACACAGGCCGCCCCGTAGACGCAGGAATGCCTAGGATGAATACAAAGTGTCTGACTTAAAACATACAAGCATGGTTCTTCACACAGATTAATGCTCAGACACATGTGGTGCAATAAGAATGTGAAGTGTTATTTATTTATCTGATGTTTTATTTTGTTGTTTCTTTCTTTCTTACATTCATTCGCCTGATCCGTCCTTTCTTGACTCTCCTCCGACGGTCTCCATTCAGAGGACATCTTTATTCTTCATGGGAAAGACAAGAAGAATCCTCTCATCTACGGCCTGTTCACTACTTCCAGGTATTTCCTCCATAATGCAGAAATAACAGGAGCAGAGTCCTATATATACTTGTTATTTATGTATATTCTTGCACATATGCTGTGAGAGGGAGAGTTTGAAATTTACAGCGGATAAACGGTTTGTCCTCCTACACATGGTTTATATGGAAGAAAAAAAAAAAACTGTGAAGTTACAGATGCTTATCAGCTCTTTTTGCAGATACCGGGGCGTTTAAATCCAAACTCTGCTATAACGGTTTATGGGAGTAAAGTTAGTGTCAAAGCAAAGAAAAAATATGGAGTATTTAAAAACAAAAAGCATAAGAGAAGAGGAGGCATAAAACAGCAAATGTCACTTGCTGAACTGCAGGTGTACTAATAAATTCATGCGTCTAAAATGAAGGCCTTAAGATGTCTTAAATCATTTTTTTAAAGTGTGCCTTATATACATTAATCACAGGTCTTGCATTTTGTTATGTTCACTCCAAATTGCTGATGCAGTTTTTTATTTGGGTTTTTAAAGACTAGAAAAGGTTTCAATTCCACCTGATCTCCTTATAAAAATGGATCCGGTACCCAGCTCAAGAGAATTAAAGCTAAGCATTTCAATCTTTAATTCAACAAGCGAGATCTTTCAGTCTCTTACACAAGCTATCTTATTTCATGTAAATAAGGCAAAACTAACTTACAAATAACCTGAGGACCTTGTTTTAAGTCAGTAGTTCTTGAATAGTGATGAAAATTACTGCTTCTGTTGGTACATTATTTCACTTATAACGTATGCTTTTTAACTTGTTTGTTTTGCGCTGTCCTTTCCAGTTTAAGGTCTTCCTTTTGACTAAACTTTTCCATCATCTGGTCATTTCAAATTAAATCTGTGGCACTTTTGCAAGAGTAAGCCGTTTCTGTTCCTGCGAACAGCAAGATCTCGGCTGCTCTGGGCGGTTTCCTCCTGATTTGCTTCATCACATTTTCGGTGGAAAACAGGTGTGAACTGCAGGGAGGCCAGTCAAGCATATGCACTTTGTGTATATGAAAGCACGGCCGTGCAGAGTGAGGTGTGGGATTTTCCTGCTGGAATAATCACAGACCTCTGTTGTCTTGACAGCGGCATCATTTTCACCAGCGCTTTAGAAGTGGCTCCTGCATCGATGAAGCCTCTGCTTTCTCTACGCGAGTCGTGCGATGATTAAACCTGCATATTGTCTGTTCTGAACACTGAACAAGTGTGCTTTGTGTTTCTTTTTTTTTTTTCTGAGATGTGAATTTGCTCAGAGAAGTCTGAAGTGTTTCTGTACAGAACGATCACGGGGTTTGAATGATGCTTTACAAAATTGTGCTTACATTTCTGGAGCCACCGACTGTGAGATGGAGAAAGTTCTCTCAGGTACTACTGAGCCAATAAGACTGTACTGATTGTACAGTTTTTATTTGTTGATATTGTTTTAATCTATCAGAGGTCAATAAATATTAATAAGCTATTAACATATATAAGATTTTTTTCAGTGATTTCGTTTTTTCCCCCCATTTCATTTGAGATTATTCTAAAGTAGCATGTAGCCATTTTGAAAACTGTTTGTAAACAGAATAAATATAATTTCAGAAGCTTTGCAGCAATGTTCAGGGTTCAAATGAAACTGCAGAGTATACAGTGAAGGACATTCTGTGGTTTTAATCAGTGAGCATTCCTGCACCGACCAGATAGCACTTTAAATAACCCTGACATCCAAAAGGATAAATTCCTGTGGTTCCTGAAATCCCTATCCAGTAAAAAGATATTTTCTTAGCAACTGCACACGTAACAGTCCTTCTTATGTTTGCATGATAAAATCTTTATTATATTTTACATAGCAGCATGTAGTTTTCTTCTACAACTCGAAGAAAGAAGACAATGAAATCGTCTTCCTTTTAACTTACCAAGAAAACACAACATCTGCGTTGTTCTGCCTCAGTCAGTGCGACATGACGCTTCGCCACGAAGAGTGTGTCTGTGACAGGATGCCTCACTTTGGTGCGTGGCACACAGATGTCGGTGTCACATGCTGCCGGTTACACACCGCTTGCTCTTTCTTATGTCACTCTGAGTCATGAATGAAATTCTTGTTCATTCACTTTTAACAACAATGAACATTTCATTTCATTCATTTCATGAATAGGATGCTCATGGTTGTCCATAATTTTCTTGGTTTTATGCAAAATCCTCTTTTGCTAATTTGTGCTAAACTCGGTTCTTCTCTTTCCAACCCGACTGGGCTTGAGTTGTTCATGAGAAGGACCGGCAAAGTGGTGGAGGCGTCGCCCAAAACACCTGCAGCTGCAACTGCAGGCGGAAAGAGAAAAGAAAATGAGCGATGTCTAAAAGAAACAGACTCGTGGAGGCGGAGGCAGCTGTCAAATCAACAAATAAAGAACCCAAAGAGCAGGCAGCGTCTGAAAGAGTGGCTTAGGAAAAAGTTAGTAAAAGAGAGAGAGGAAAATGAGCACCCTCATGGCCAACTAAGACAGCCTGGGTTTCCTCATTTCCTCCACATCGCTGCTGGCACCACACACTCCCAGAGTTAACAGCGTTCCTGAGCTACAGCCCAGAGCTCTACAGTAGCAGCAGAAGCATGACTGCATTTGGCACGGCCGCGCTGGGTGTTGGCCTGTTTCTGGGGGATTTGGAAAGTGTCTGGAATCTTAGCAGGGAATGGACAGAAATCCAAAGCATCGCGCAGGGTGGGGTCACAACCACAGAAGAGGGGTCACTCCTTCTGAATGGAAACTCCTCCTTGCAGCAAAGTCATAGTTGCACACGCTCTCTGACTTTAGGATGGGATTGAGCATGAATCAGTCTTCTGTATTATTTTGTCTTTTGAAGGCACCCCTACTTTGGAATAACCTTTGATAATGAGATTTTATAGAAAATTGTGTCTTTATTTCAGGAAAACCGTTGTAAATACTCTCGTAAAATTCCGCAAAAATAGTCTGTTTTAACTATGAATGCCAGGTTTTCCCTAACTTTATGAGCCTAAATAGTGAATTTGGTTTTAAAGGAGTTAAAAGTGGATTTGTAGTTGTGACCCTTCGGGTTTTGTGATGTGTCAGAGTGAACAACTGGCTGGAGGAATGAAAGGAGGATTCCTCCAGCGGAGCGTCAGAGCATACATGCTGCATATGTGTCACCCAGATGAACCAAGAGAAACCAATCTGAGTCATGTAAATGTGGCTTTTCTGTCTGTCCTGTTTCTGCTTCAGTGGATTTTTTTTTTTTTTTTTTTTTTACTTAAATAAGCGTTTATAAGAATCCTTTCCAGAACTGACGATGGTTGTTGGTGTGTTTTGCGGTAAAAGCCTCAAAGGGAGCACATTTAAATACTTTGACTGCTGGCGTAGAGAGGTCAGTAAAAGTTAAAGAAAAGCCACAATGAGATGCAGCTTTTCATATCCAGTGCCAGTCAGATGTTTGTAATAAACACTGTAGACATAACGCTCATATTGATTGTGGGCTCTTAATGATTTATTTAACTATTCTTTTTCATGGTGGAATGAGTTTAAAACAACTTCGGATAAGTACAAAAGCAGAAGAATTTCAATGTGACTTTCGTGTAATCCTCACAGGGTCAGAATTATACATACGGCCTGAAAGTTGCAATTTGAATGTATTTTGTGGCCACCCAGAAGCTTCTAGCATCCTTCTGTTTAGAGTCAGTGGAGCCAATTTAACTTGGTTGGTTTCTTGGCACAAACCCAGCTGTGTGTGTGTGTGTGTGTGTGTGTATATATATATATATATATATATATATATATATATATATATATATATATATATATATATATATATATATATATATATATGCCTTATTCAAGTTTCAACCATTTGGCCCAAACTGTCATCCTCTGATGAAAAGAGAACAATCCATAAACCAACAAGGCTCCCATGAACTGAAAACAGCCTCAAAGCTTAGAGGCATTGCTCTCAGTGGTGCAGGTTTCACATCTCTGTGGACTCAAATGTCACCGACCAGAAAAAGAAAACAACTGGAAGTCCAAGCAGCTGCCTATCTGCTTTAGTTACATTTCTTCTAGATAAATGTGAAATGTCAAAATGTAGCTGTTTGCCCCCAGAGAAAGAAGAGGAGTCTAGGTGAGGCATTTGAACTTCAGAGCGATGTATTCATTGTTAAGCACGGTGGAGGGTTGGTTTTTCTTCCTGTTGTACTTTCCTATGACAAAGACGGGAGGATTAAAAACTTTGAAATTCTTTCCCTTCCCCTTTAGTCATTTTCTAACCATCAGTCCCAATCCATAACTGAAAATGTCCTCCCAGATATTTTTGTGGAAGCTCACAATTACTACACACATTGATTGCTTCATGGTCCAGCACAAGTAAACACACTGTCGCTGGGGCAGACGGCTGAAGCTTGGACACAGCTGCGTTTTCCAGCAGGGCAGTGATCCCAAACACATAAAATTTGGTTCCAGAATGGACATGTCAGGCTAACATTTAGTTTCTGGAAAGCGCTGACTCCTTCTGTGCTGGAAATGTATGGCCTGAACTTACAGGCTCCAGAATCCATTTAATTTGAAAGAGCGCTCTCAACTGTGTTGTGAAGTATAATTCAACCTCCAGCCAGATGTGTGCTGCAGGCTTAAGGATGGCTGCAGTCAGCAACTAGCAGAGGTCCAACTTACTAAGGGACATTTATTTTGATTTATGTACATATTTATGTGCCATTCTGACCATACATTAAAACTTCTTGACTCATTTCCTGTTGTTATAAATGCCAGTGCAGTAAAGGAACAGTTCAAGTGCATCATTAAAAGTCCAAAATAAGAAGATGAGCATATGCAGACTTTATTACCAGTGCCTTGCATCACTTTCTGACTGAAGTGATGCTGTTGTTCTTGCTGCTGGTGGAAGGATAACAACAAGTGGACAGGATTACCTGACAGCTCTTCTCCTGCTCTGTTTTCAGTGACATCCTGAACGGTTCGGCGGTGTGCGTCTATCGAATGGAGGACGTGGTTCGAGCCTTTAAGGGCAACTTTCTGCATAAAGAGGGGCCTCAGTACAAATGGGCCGAGTTCACAGGAAAAGTGCCTTATCCACGGCCAGGAACTGTAAGCTGCAACTCCCAACCGTCTGACTTGATGCATGATTTTAGTTGAAACTGATTAAAACAAGCATGCGAGACAAGTGACAGCTCAAATTTGAGCTTTCACTTATTGCACAAATAAAAGAGCTGCATAGTAAAAGCAATAATGTCTACATGTTGTTTTGAGGCCAATGCAGTGCTTAAATAACGATGCGTTTTTCCTGTTTCTCACTGACAGTGTCCCAGCAGCACTTATGGAAGCTACAGCTCCACCAGAGAATATCCTGACGACGTGATTTTCTTCAGCAGGACTCACCCGCTGCTGCAGGTCCGTCCTCTTTAACATTATTAAATTAAACTAATTTAATGTAATAAGACTCTGCCCTGTTTTACGCAGGGTCCAGTCATTTTTCCCCCCTCTCTATTTTGGTCTAAATAAGATAAAGAAGTTAAATTAAATTGGCTTTCACCACCTCATCTTTGATGACATGAATTTTCCATCATTTTTTTGGCTGATTTACAAAGCTGGCTGAAATATGGCAATTTTAACACGTTATATTTAATATGACCAGTTTTGTAAATGTAATGAACTTTGTTTCAGGAACACGTGCTGCCTCTGGGAGAGCGCCCACTGCTGGTGAGAGTGGGTGTTCACTACAAGTTTAGCAAGCTGCTGGTGGACCGGGTGGAGGCTGTGGATGGCACGTATGACGTCCTGTTCATCGGCACAGGTAGAGAGCAGAGGGAGCGGCCGACTCATTTTAAACCCTGTCCTGTTTTTTATGTTAAATGTTATTTGTTCTTTGTTTCCTCAGATTCAGGTCTTGTGCTAAAGGCTATCCATCTGCCCAGAGAGCACGGTCAGAGTCAGGAGGTCACTCTGGAGCAGCTGCAGGTTTTTCAGGTACAATAAAATATTTAAAAAATATGAAAAAATGTGCAAATTTCAGCTTAATTTCTGATTTAAAAAAAAAAAAAAATATATATATATATATATAAATCTTGTGATTTGATACATCTGCATAGTGTTTTCTGGCCCATTACCTCTAGGAGGTTATTTTGTTTACTTTTTTTTGTTACATTTTTTAGATTTGAGTTTCATAAAAACGGTTTAATATTGATCTCTAGTGTTGCTATTTGCTTCTTTAGACACTAAGCATGTTTCTCTCTATTCACAGCACAAATCACCCGTGACAGCGATGGCGTTGTCAAAGAAAAAGGTAACAAAATGAACGAGACAGGAAGTTGCTGCCAAACTTATAAACTCCCTGACTCACACTCACACACATACACACACACACACCCCTGCATGCACAGCGTCACACTTATCACTCATCTTTCCACCTTGCGTCTCCAAGGACATCTTCATCACCAGTTGCTATGGTTACCTCACCTCAGTCAGTGGCATAATGAAGTGATACCACACTGTACACACAGACTTGTGCGCACACACACACACACACACACACACGCACACATATATTTTCACCTTACTTTGTTAAAATAGTCTGCGATCTTTGAAAAAGACAAATCCACAGCTTTCTCAACAACAGATTTAGATATCTAGTCTATAAAAATAAAAAAAACAAGCGTCAATACATTTTTTTGCTCCTATGCACAAGCAGCATGAGTTCAGTGTGTTGCTCATCATTAAATGAGATGAATATTGTCTTTTTGTTCATCATTTGAACTGGATTTCTGCCTCTTTTTGCTGTTTCCCTTAATGATCCTCCATTCCTCTGTTTTCTCCTCAATCTGTTTCTATCTGCCACCTCACTCGTCTTCCACAGTGGCTGTTTGTGGGCTCCAGGGAGGGCGTGTCTCAGCTGGCCCTGTACCAGTGTGAGCTGTACGGCCAGGCCTGCGCAGAGTGCTGCTTGGCCAGGGATCCCTACTGCACCTGGGACGGACATGCCTGCAGTCCGTATATGCCCACCGTGCGCCGGTAGGGAAGAAAGAAAGAGCACATTTTCTGAAAAATCCAAACAACAGCTAACGTGATTACAGTGTAGCTAAATGTCTTCCCCCTCAGTTAAATGTGGGAGATGCAATCTCCAGGCAGTCATCTAAAATGAAATTAAAAGCACATCTGTTGATAGTTTAAAAGTTGATCAATTCTAAACTCGTATTTCTCTGTTTAGGCTTTCGGCATTTTTTCCCGATGAATAACACTGTGGCCCCTTTTACAAAACGTCTACCAGTGTTTTTCATGTTTATTGGGGATATTATAATCTAACCTTTTCCCCCCAGTGATTGCATGAGCAGATTGATTTACTTCTATCAGACTGAAGCACTATATGACCTTCTCTCTAGTGCCATCATCAGGACAAAATTTACATAGTAACCAGCATTTGCAAATCAATGTCATCACTCCGAGCCTTTTCTCTGGTAGAGCCAGAAACGACTAACCAGTGGAGTGCACAGACATTTTGGAGGGCAGGGTGCTCAAGAGGAAAAAAGGCCAAAATTAAAGAAATTATGTTGTTTGACAAAATTAAAGAAATGGAGGGCTGTAAGGACACTCAGAGGGGACCCGGAAATTCAACCACACACAGGAGTATACAAAAAGGAAAAAAGTTTATTTTTTCTTATACTGGTTACTGCACAGGGAGAGGTCATCAACACAGCACTGAGGAGAGAGGGGAGAAGACTGATGATGCACAGATAAAGGAGGGGTATCTGAGAAATGTTCAGCTTAACTGACCTGTAGAGCAATGGACGGGCGGAGCAGAGGAACAGAGGGTCCGATGACAGGGAGATGCAGGAAACCAATGGAACAGGGTTCTGAGGAGGCAATGAAGATCTCCACGGGGAGATCCAAAATGCGACACCCAGGGACTTTGTCAAGTATCAGGCTGAGGTCATACACAGGAGGACAGAGAGAACAAACTTAGTTTTGAGGGGCAGGCAGTAATCTGTGGTCAAGAGGCAGAGCTTGGGTCAGGGTCCAGAAATCCAGAATAGAAGGGATCCGTGAGGGGCTTGGCAGGAGGGGAAAATCCGTGGTTAGAAGGAGGGTCGAAGAAACACTTGAAGGCTTGGAATGAAACGCTGGATCACTACTGGCTCGTGGCTGTCGATAATCTGGCAAGGAAGCAGAGGCTGAGGGGTGTTTAAATAGGGCAAGGCCCAGGTGGAACAGGTAAGCAATCAGGCGTGGCAGGTGAACTGAATGAGTGCTTAACACAGCATGGACAGGACATGAATCATAACAGAGGGCACTGGTAATCCAGAATGCTACGTACAAAAACACACACGCACATTTCAAAAGGGCACTTTTTTCTAAAGAGAGAAAAGGGGCAGCATGCCTAGCACCACCTAGTGTCTATCTGCGTACATCCCTGTAACTAACCCTTACATTTGTTTGTCTGCAGGAGAAATGCTCGTCATTTAGGGGAGGAGGAGGATCCACTAACTCAGTGCGTCCGACAGGGAGGTGAGGAGCAAATCCAATGATTTCACCAAGTGTGAAGCGTCCAACTGCTCATTATGCATGAATACTTTGCAGACCAACATGGTTTGAACCACATCTATCAAAACGGCAATACAAAGATAGGTGTTCGTCCAGTCAGTTGGCTGGGGCTTGAAGAACGGGGCTTCTGCGTCATATTTTCAGCCGATGGAAACAGGAAGTCATAGATTACTAATTACAAGTAATTAAAATCTTTGAAAAGTAAAATATAAATTATTAAAAAGATTCAGCTGAACTTGATTTAAAGAAATTGCTAGAGATATGAAAGGCTGTGTACTAATGATTTGGTTAAAACTATTTCTGAACAGGCTAAATTACTCTCACAAAATAAATCTACTATAATTAAAAGTTGGGTTTTTTAAGTTCCTCAGTGTGAGATTATGTTATTGGAGCAAAGGATTAATATTTCTACTAAAGCTTTTTACACATCTTTACAAAAAAAAAAAAATCTATCCTTTGTAAACAAATAACTTCAAGGGACAAAATAAACACAGAAACGGACCAAAGCTGAATCTATACCAGCAACAGAGGCTTGTTTAGTGAGTTGCTGTGTTTTGTTGGTTTAATTCAGCTGGGCTGCAGGTGGAGGCGGAGCAGAGGGTCATGATGGTTGCCGAGGGCAACAGCACCTACCTGGAGTGTCTGCCTCGGTCCAGACACGCTGCCGTTACCTGGTACAAACAAGCTGGAGAGAACAGCGCCGAACTGAACCAGGTAGACACATTTTACCCGAACACCGTCAAATCTGACAGGTTAAAGCATCTGATGTTCACATTACTTTCAAAATTAAACATTGAGATCAATAATTGACTTGTCATTTTGTTGGGAGTTGAAGCTGTTTATATATAAGCTTATTAAACCATCAATTTGAGTTGAATTAAATTGTGAAAAAAAAATACAATTGAATAAAAATGAAATTAAGTCAGCTGAAAAAATTTTAATGAAATGAAGCTGAGGTTGAATAGAAATTAAATTAAGTCCATTAAGATGAAATTAAAATGATATTAATTAAATTAATTTGCCTAAATTATAATTAATTAAAACCAACTGAACTGAGTTGATACAATAGAATAAAATTTAATTGAACTGAATTATGTTAATGGAGTCAACATCCATCCAGGTAATGACAGGTGACCAGCTGGTGGTGATAGAGCGCGGCGTCCTGATTCGGCGAGCCGAGCTCTCTCACGGCGGCGTCTACCACTGCCAGGTGGAGGAGCACGGCTATCACTGGACCGCAGTCACCGTCCGCCTCGCCGTCTGGAGCCCCTCTGCCAATCGCGTCCTCTCCTCCTTGGCCGGCTCGTCCTATCAGAGCGCAGGAACCCAGCCCTGGTACGAGGACGTGATGGCCCTGATTCACCCCGGAAACCTGGGCGAGCACTGCAAGGCCCTGGGTTACCGTCCGCCGCGCAGCCAGCGCCATCGCGGGGACTTCATGGTTCCGCCACATAAGGAGAAGGAGAGGGCTGAGAAGCACAAGCATGGCGGAGGAAGGGGAAGAGGAGGAGGAGGAGGGGGAGGGGGAGGACGCGCCGTGGGACGGAAGAGCAGGAGCAAGCCTCAACAGAGGGCACCGAGGAGCGCCTGAGCCCACAGCGTCACTGACTGAGACACACACACACACACACACACACTTTGTGTAACCCACACATGCACACACTTAACTTATACTTTAGGACCCACTCAAACTGTATGTACAGAGACTACGTCATGCGCATGCACTTATCTAAAATGAAAACGGCATCCTCTCATCTTAGTGGCAAATAGTCAAACTCCACATAATCATCTGAACTTTGTACAGGACGGCTTGGACAGCGGAGGACCGCTTCGCTCCGACAAAGGACTTTGTGAATAAACGCGCAAAAGTAGATTAGCTTAGGTTGCTTAGCATGCCGAATGAAGGACGAGCAGCACAGCCAGGTCACTCTGTGCTGCGACGAGGACATTTCAGTGGATATTATTCAGGTTGAGGAAGCGTTTTTCCACAAGCTAAAATTTTAAAAACATGTTGCCCTACTGAAAGGATGTTGAACTTAAAGGAAAACCTTTGAGCTCTGTATGTTATCCAGTTATTATCTTAACAGGCAAAAATAAGCTTCCTGTTGTCTGTCAGCTTTTAGAAGAGCAAAACGAGTAGGAGAGCGGAAAGAAATTTGGGTTGGACGAAGAATTTTCTTAAAATGTTTTGTTCCCAGATTTGAACAGTTCCCCCTCCTGTGATGATTGAGAATTGGGGATCATTAGGAATACAGCAACTTGTCTTGCAGCGATGGAACGGGTCAAACCAAAACAAGGGAAAACGCATGTAGACTGTGCTGAAAAGTACTTGGATGTTGTTACCAAGGCATCAGATGGAGGAATGATCAACAGTCGGCTAATAATTGGGCCAAAAATGTAAAAAAAAAAAATGACATGATCGAATTACAACTGAAAAGCCACAACTATTTTTGCTGCTGCTACAATAATATTAAGCAATAATTATTACAGTCATTTATCAATTATTTTGTTGCTCAGATTTAAACAGAAATATGGAATAAACATGTTAAATTTAGCAGTAGTATTCAAGTGTTAATTGTAGTTCAGAGCTGTGTGTGAACTTCTAAAGCAGTGCTACCTTTATTATGAGCAATGGGTCTTTAGTTTTACACATCATGGCCTGAAATATTTCCAAACGGTCAACTTTGACCAGCAACGTGCAGCAACATGTGGGGGAGGGGCATCTACTACACTTCCTCTGGCATCTCACGGACAGGCTCTGCTCTTTTTGTGGTTTTTGAATTATAGCTTTTGAACATTTTGGTATTCTTTGAAAGCGAACCGGCCCTAATAAGCAGCGATTGCTAATTAAGACATTCGAAACTATCCGGAAAGAAACTTAACACGGTATTAATGTCCAGAAACAAATTAAACTACCTTTTAATTGGGAATAAATAAGACAGCTGTTCTATAAAAAAATTAAAAAAAACACACACAGGTAGACACAACAATCAACCACAGTAGATTCACAAACTATTCATCAGCAGTGAGACGTTTGTTAGTTTGTTGAGAAAGGAGCGGTTCCACCTTCAGATTACGTACTGTGACCACTGAGATGAAAAGCAGAGAAGAGTGCAACGATCCCTTTGATGGTCGACTTTCCCAGGACGTCGGTGCGGCGTGCTGCAGCTGCACCAACCACTGCAAAAAGAGGTTTCCATTGTGTTCGCCGCAGTGCTCGGCGCTGTAACATTAACCCAGGTTCAGATGCAGTCCTGCTGCTAATTTTGTGCTATGTGGGGAACAGAGTGAACAAAACAAAACGAGTACGATTCTTCTTTTAGCTTGGAATATTTGCATAGATCTGGAGAATCTGTTGAAATTCAAAAAAGAAATAAGAAATAAAGGGTTTTTCATGCAGATGTGGTTTAAATGGCTTCAACAAGGGTCATAATCAGAACGTTCATTGCTTGGTTTATTGTTTGCTGTTCAAATCAGATGAACTCTTTATCATTTAAAGACGACATTTAACTGTTCTGTAATTTGAACTGTGTTTCTTCTCAGTATGTTGAACTTTGTAAAATAATGCTTTCAAAAGATTTTCCACTTGTGTTTGATCAAATTTAAAAAAAAAAGAAAGAAAGAAAACACAAGCTGATGAGGCCCTAAGAGGCAGAGGACTCTGTACATAACATGCATGTTTCTCAACCTTCAGACTGCAGGTGACTTTGTGTGACAGCTGGTTCTGCAGCTCCAGCCTTTAATGTCGTCTTACTACCAGTGATGAAAAAGGCTCAGTGAGCGATGAAAACGTTTCGGTTGTGCTACCTGAAAGCTGGAGGCTCGATGGGAATGTTTTCTGCTGGACTTTGGCTCGTCGGAGGACAGTGACTTCTCAAAACAGTGAAATGCGACTTATTATGTGCTACATGTTAAGCAGAGCTTCTTCCATCATCTGTTTGATTTGACTCTTTCTTGTATTTATTAGTCTGACTTTGAGTAAAGCATCTTGGTTAGTAAAAGCTCATCACCAAGTCATAAAGCCTCCACTGTATTTTTTTTTGTTTGTTTTTTAACGTGAGCATCCTTGTCTGCTTGCTTTTATATGTATATCTGATGTCCAGTTGTTACCATTTCCCCTGTTTAAACGCCTTGTAACTGCGTCTTTATTTGTATTATTTTGATAACTTCTTAGGGAAACCTTCCCATTCTCTTGGTATTTAAAAGTTGATCTGTTTCAAGTTGAGGCAGCAAGAACTAAAGAAGTATTTAAAACATTGTCTTTGTCTGTGTCTTTAATATATACATATCACTGACTTAAACTAAAAGCTCAGACCGGTACTGCTTATGACAAACTGCGTGGGAAGTTAAAATTTTCTGTCTGAAGCATCAATAAAAATAAATTGTTGCATTGAATGTCTGTGGAATCAGTAATGTAATAGTGAGGTACCTTGACAGTAATGTAGGTTTTGAGTCAACAATGTAACAATATATTGAGAAAGTAAAAAAACTATTTGAAAATGTAACAATTCCACAAATAGCTTAATACATGAATAAGTATCATAGTACTACAAGTTAATATTTTCAGTTTATTTTTCTTGTAATTAGATGTTGCAGAATAGCCATAGTTGGAACATTGTGCATTTTATACATGCAAATTTCTTGCTTACAAATTTCTCAAGCTCTGTAAGATTGGACTGTGATTGGACATGCAGGTCTTGTGACAGATTCTCAACTGGGTTTAAAACAAGACTTTGACTAGGTCTGTTGTTGCTCTTACTGCAACCAATAGTTCTCCTGTCAACATAGACCCTGCAGATCTCTGCGGATCCTCAAATATGCATGTTGGATCGACGGCCACGTCTGCTCTTTCCGTCTTTGGATTATAAATTGAACTGTGCTAAATAAGATAACCAAAGCTTCCTCCGCAATTAAATGCATTAAGACTTGTGGTTGCAACATTACACTGTGTGGAAAAGTTGAAGGGGTATTTATGCGAGGCATTGTAGATGGTGAAGTCATTAATAATAACAGCTCTGTGTACATGTTCAGTATCATTCCTCGTGAATATACCAAGCATGCAGCTGGACCTGTATTATATCCCTGTATAAATCAAACAGGAGTCCTCCATGTTTTTCCTCTTCAAGCTTGCAATTCTGCACAGAGCATCTATGTGTGGGCTTTAGCGTCTGTTTGACATTTGTGGGTTCTGAGTGAAAGCAGCTCAGTTCACAGGCTAAGCCAGTAAATTTGCCAAATTGGGAACTTAGCAACAAATGGGAGACACTTCTGTTGCTTTGGGGGAAAAAAATGAACCAGGGCAGAAAGAGTGCAGATACCTAATGTGGGCTTGGCTTTTGGCTTCCTGGTTTGAACCTTCTCAGCTGCACCCACATTAAAGAACTCAGCAGTGGTGAGTTATTCACAAGCACATGTTTGGAAGGGGAAAGGAGGGCAAGTCGTGGAGACGCAGACACAAAACTGTGTGCTTAGGAATGTGAATCTAACGCTCTGCTTCAAATTAAATCAACAAACTTCACGCTTTGTTATTGGTAGTGGTAAACTGTTAAAATAACGTAAACTCAAAAGTGAAAAAGCAAGATCACTATTGTGTGTTGAGGACACAGTTCAAGGCCTGGAAACATCTTCTGTATCTTCATCTTGTGTATCTGCTTCCTACAGTGTGCTTAAATTACAAACACAACTGCAGAAGAGCAAATAGCTTTTGTCTCAAAGCCTGTACTATGGTACTTTGGTCAGAAAAATATGTGAACTTTGTTCATTGAAACTAGCTCAATTTTTATTGTCATATGAAACAAATTACATGAGCCTCATTTGTCAAATTATAGGTAACTTTTGAAAATATCAGCCTTTAAGCAAGTGCTTCATTAAACCCACATTTCTGTTTCTAGAAATGTTTTTATTGGTGTAATATTTTAATTTTAGAAGTCGTGTTTTCATTAACTAAGTGGAATATCATCATAATTAACTCAGGTTTTCAAACATCCGTCTGTGCGTAGGTAATTTATAGAATGTGTTTCACTCAGTGAGAAGGTTCCTGAAATGATTTTCGATCATATTTATTGAATGGGTCTGTACATCAATTCTTCCTCTTCCGTTCTGCATCTCAATGTTTCAACTTAATCCCAACTCCTTGGCAGGCAGACATCAGGTGGTACGGATCGGACATGACGCCTAATCCACACCGCACCTCAACACAGGTGTCCACCAGGGCTGTGTACTTAGTCCCTGCTGTTGAAGTCTGATGCCATCCAGAATCACTGGCCAGGCTTTCTGAAGGAGCATCAGGTCCAAAATTATGAACAGGTTTGTGCCTGACCTTCGCCTGTTTGGGCTCGTAGGAGTTTTTGTCTGACATTCAATGTTTCTCTTGAAGACATGCTGCAGGGCGGCTCCTCAGTCATCACAAGGACCTTATGTGTTTCACTCTGTCATGGTCTATTTACATCTCCGTGCCAGTACCCGTCTCATGTAATTTTCCAGAGCTGCTTCTCTGCAGCTGGAACAGACCTGTCTCATTTTATATTTAGAGACTTTGATTTTTTTTATTTATTTATTTTTTCTTTTTGCAACAATGCCTTGGAAAAGTATGTGTTGGAATTTTACACATTTTGTCTGGTTGCAATCACAGCCTATGATGTATTTTGGTGACTTTATGTAACCAAACAACACATGGCAGCACAGTAAACGGTAAAGTGGAAGGAACTTATTCCCACTACTTTCCAACATTTTTACAAAAAAATGTAAGAAGGTGGGCTGCATTTGTTTTCAGCCCCAGTTGTCCTCATAAGTCACTCTGTTAGTACACAGAGTCAACTTGTATGTAATTTAGTCTCAGTATAAATCCAGCTCAGGCCTCAGAGATTTGTTGGAGAAAATCGGTAAACAAACAGCATCATGAAGTTCAAGGCACGGCTAGTGGAAAAGGTGTGGAGAAATAAAAATAGGTTTAGGTCAGAAAATTATATCCCAAAGCCGTCATCCTAAACTCTAAGGATTACAGATCAACTACAAACCTAAGAAGACATGAACCATCCGTCTAAACCCATGTTGTCCAAATGTTTTTATTCATATGGGCCAAAAACATCAAGTTTAAAGTATTCAGAGGCAACAAAATGAGATATTTTAAAATTAAAAATGCAAAACAAATAAATTAATCAGACCTTTGAAGAAAATGGATCTGTAAAGGAACGTATGTTTGAAACATAAAAAGCAAACCTTCACCAAGGTTTCACTTTAAAAACACCTGTAGAATCACAAATGAGAAAGTTTGCTATTGAGTTAAAGTCACTGTATTTTTTTTCTTCCTTTTTCTCATGACTGTGAAATTAGAATGAAAGGAAAACAATGTGATTGATAAAATGTATAGCTAACATTTTCCATTTTCAGGGAAAATGAGATTTGTCAGTAAAAAAAAATAAAAAATCTAACACCTTTTCCATCAGTCGCTTGTGTTGGCAATTTTGTACCACTCTTGAACTGGGACTGGGACCCTTGGTGATGAGGGTCGAAAATGACCCCCAGGCTGAACTTTAAACTCCCCTGATCTGAAGTGACAGGCTGGACAAGGAGAGCATTAATCAGAGGAGCCCAGAGGCCAGAGAGGCCTATGAACTCTGGAGCAGCTGCAGAAATCCACAGCTTAGGTAGGAGATTCTGTTGACAAGACAACTATTAGTTGTGCGCTCCTCTCTTCCTGGGCTTTGTGGAATAGTGGCAAGAAGAAAGACACTAGAAGTCCAGTTTGTAGTTTGTTACTGAAGAAACAGTAACAAACATGTGGAAAAAGATGCCCTGATCACAAAACTGAAGTTGCGATATGCTGCATGTGGAGGAAAAACTAACATTGCACATCAATCCAACACATTAAAGCCTAATACAAGTTATATATATAGATATAGATATATATCTATATATATATAGGTATTTTTTTTTTTTTTTTTACAGATGATCTCTATCTCGTTTGACTCACAACTGTTTTTGAGTTAAAGTAGTCCAACGCAGTAAGTGAAATGTAAATGCACGCAACAGTTTTCAGGATTTCTTTGTGGAAATTGATCATGTTTCGTTTTCCCAGGCGTTCACTACTTTGTGTTTGTCTTTCACATACGATCCCTAATAAAATAAATTGAAGTTTGTGGTTGTAATGTGACTACATGTAAAAAAAATAAAAAAAATAAAATAAGTTTATTAAAACTTTTGCAAGGCATTGTATAAAGATCTGCTTTTAGGAGGATGTTTGTGTTTTGTGGCTTACTTTTCCTTCAAAACTATGTCCGAACTTCAAATTTGATGGAGTGGACGTAACATTCAACACTATTAAACCACCACAAAACCCATTTGACTGGCAAACTCTGCCATTTGTCCTCTTTCTTCTCCATCAATCTTATGTTTGGTGGAACAACCCAGTCTTCAGTTAATAAGGAATGATCATTTCGCTGAACCAGTGGTGAAATAATTCAGCTCACTTTGCAGTTCCCCCCCCCCCCCCCCCAAAAAAAAAACCCCCAATTGTTTGCACCAATTTTCAACCCCAAAATT